GACAGGTGAGGAAATACCACCCTCCTCACCAGCCCCGCTTGGGAACCTGTCTCTCTTTTGCTTTGGAAACCTCCATGGACTTTTAACTCTTAGAAGGTAACACTAAGCAGGAGAGGATGGCTGGTTAAAGCACTAAGCTGGTCTCAGGAGACTGGAGTTCAGTCCTCTGCTCTGTCACAGACTCCCTGAGTAACCTTGGGCCAGTCATTTCATCTCTCTGCACAGCAGACCATAACATGGGGGTGCAGCCCTGCCTGGCCGTGCGGAGAGGCTGGGAGGATAAGTGTATGACACCCTAAGCGACTCAGATGCTGCGGCCATGCAAGTCCCACAGATGTGCTGCAACAGGCAAGGTGGAAGAGTCGCCTTCCAGTACAGATCATCTGCCCTTTGCCCTGCAAGATCTTGCACATCTTTGCTGGGAACAAGTCCATTGGCAAGAGCTTGCTCTTTCCTTTCATGTTCTCATCGTTAGGGCAGGGGGAGCTCCTCCGCTGCCCGAGGTAGCACACTTCACAATGGCTTTGCGTTAGCCAGGGCCTGGACTCTGCCCTGCCCTTCAGTGCCTCCTATACCAACTGCAGGCCTGCTTCCTAACTCCACCCTGCCTCCCCAGCTTCTCTCTTCTCCTCACGTTCACGGGAGAAGCCACCTCCAGAAGATGCAGAGAAACAAATCTGTAGAGCCTTACACCATAGCAGGCCTGAGTGGGAGTTTTGCCCAAGTAAGGTCTGGACATCTGCTGCAGGCTTTGACCAAGATTCTCCACTCAAGGGTTTATTCTTATACCGGCTCCCTTTGTCTTACTCATTTTTCCTCCTGTCTATTTAAATCCTGTTTAAAATGCCCTGGCTTGTGGCCAGAATCCCTCACATGTTCACACTCCTTTTTGGCTCAGGCCCCCCCATGCCAGGCTGGGAACAAACGCTGCCCGTCACGCTATGGCTGTTTGACTTTTCCCCGGGAACGCGTCCCTGTCTTCTGGTTTTTGTCCATTCCTCGTGGAAGGCCAGGACTCACCTGTGCTGGCCTAGTGCCTTTCCCAGGACTCTTCTGAGCCCTGTTCTCTCGTGCCTCTGCCTGCTGGCCCTGTAGGGAAAGCCGGCCATGCTGGAATATGTGGCATACCATTCGAGGCCCTTAAAGCCAGGGAGCAGGCTTGCAGGGGAAGGTGTTAGTGAAAAGAGGCTGTCAGGATATTAAAAATGATATTTGAGTCCTCTCGGCAAACAAGGACAATCGCATCTCAGCAGAGTCCTTGAACTCCAAGGGATCCAGTTTCCCAAGTGTTTATTAGACACGAGTCCCTTTTGTTTCCAAAAGCGCCGCAACCTTCTAGCTTCCCGAGGGGAGGAGCCTTCCCCAACCTGAGTGCGGCAGGGAGGGATCTTGCAGAAGCAGCAGGCATCCCTGGAGAGGGAACTAGACTCTCACATCATTGTCTTCCGGTGTCCATGGACTCACCTCCGTCGAGTCACCTGAAAGTGCCTCCACCCAGGGGAAGTCCTGTCTCCACTGAGTGGCACTCACTGCTAATACAGGTCATTGGGCTTCACTGACTCCCCCACATGATATCTCATGCAACTGAGCAAAACACGCTTCATAAAACTTGTCATCAGGTGGCCTGATGTTATTCCTTCCTGGGCAGGACAGAGCCAGGGCAGGCTGTAAAGTGTCTTCTGCTGTTGCAAACCCATCGTGGTGTCAAAGATATCAACGCTGAAACTTCTGCCTCTCCTCTGCCTGGAGGTCAGGGAATATACAGGGAACCTCCATCCATCCCACTCACAGCAGGACAACCGGCAACACCTCATCCGCTTACGACAGCATTCAAATGACCCCTTCAGCTTGAATCACGCCCTGGCCTCCCAACCGCCATTTCCTGCACTTCAGAAACAATTTTACTATTTTCTGACTGGGACTCACAGAGTTCAGGGCAGAATCTTTATTGGTAAGGGCTGCCAAAATATTGCAATGCTACACACTGCCCAGATCGCTTGCCAGGTTTGTGTGTGTCCAGGTATGGACATGAATGTGTGGACATGTGTGTGTTTGGATACCAAGAGATAAGGCAGCATGAGAGAGCCCGTTCTCATGGTGCCATCAGCCTAGCCGACACTGGCAGGCATGGATAACTTGTCCAGAGCTCTCTGTCATGTTGGGGAACCAGAAAAACTGGGCTGGATGGCCCCTCAGGAGGCCACAGAGTCCATCCCCTGCTCTAGGCAGGAGCATCCCTGTCCGAACCAGCCCAGACACATTTGTTTAACTTGCACTTAAAGGTTTCCAACAATAGAGATGGCACAGCCTCCCCTGCTAATATCCCACTGCTGAGCCACCCTGAGGGCAGGACAGTTCTTCGCACTATCCCACCTCAATCTCCATTGCTTCCTGCCCTGCCCCCTAGTTGGTCACCTTCCTATTGAGAATGACCCTTTGTGTATTTGGAAATCAATCAGACCTTGCTTCAGTCCTCTCTGCTCCAGAGTAAAGCACCTCTGGTGCTTGCTCTTCCCCCATGTGTCATGCTTCTCTAGAACTCCAGTCATTTCCGTTGCTCTCCTCTGGGCTCTCCCCAGTTTGTCCACATTTTCCTCGAAGAGCAGTGCCCCAGTCTGGACCCAGCTCTCTTGGGAAGACCTCCCCAGTCCTGCATGGAGCAGAATAGGAGACTTGCATCGACACACCTCTGTAGAGCCACCCCAGCAGAACTGACCTTCCCGGGTCTTTGCAGCTGGCTCAACACTAGCTCCTGGGGCATTGCACTTTGCTCCCCGAGGCTCCCCACCTTGTGCTGAAATTTCAAGACATTCTGCAGGCATCTAATGAATGACCTTGTGACACAACCAGCCAGCTTGGATCTGCCCCATCCAAGGGCACTGTGGCCCAAAGACAAGATGCTCCTGATCTGGCAATTTTCACTGGGAGTTGGAGATGCTCAGTTGCCTCTTCTGCAGCTGCCTAAATAGAGCCAACTTTAGCCTCCTGCACAGGGCTTGGCCTAGCATGAGAAGCCCAGCTACTAGTCTCTGCTCCCTGCCCCCAGTAACAATGCCTCTAGCAAACTAAGGAGCCCGAAGAGCAGCTTTCCTAGGGCATTGCAGCTCAAAGGCCTGGCCTTTATATAACTCGTGGACTACAGCCCTTGACAAGCAGGTTCAGCTGTAACAATGCCATTTCCGTAGGGAGGCACAAGGACACTGGAGAAGCAGCTGTTGTTTGCATCTTCGCTCTGGTAAGAAAAAACCTCCGCAGGGCTGGCTGGGCAGCTGAGAACGGCAAGGGATCCGAAGGGCATTGTTCAGCCACAAGTGTCAGTCTCACTCCATTGTACAGGCATGTCTGCACTGCGGCCTTGGCAAGGGGGTGGGGGAGGCCAGATAAAATTAACAGGCTAAAAATACAAAGGCAACTACCTCCACTCAAGGGGTTCGGCTTTGATGTCGAGGGCTCCTTGGGCTCATGGGACCTGGGTGAGATATAGCACCCTCCCAATGGGGGAAGACTTCATCGCCTTGCTTCTCGGTAGCCTGATCTGCAGGAGCTCCCAGCCTTCAACCAGCTTGGTTCTCCTGGGAGAAACAAACTGCAGCCACAGCACCTGGTCGGTGAACGTGGGCAGAGTGCAGACTCTTCTGGGGCGGGCTGTTCATGACAACTGCTCAACTGCCCACAGCAAGGCTAGCTGCGAGGGTAAGAGCGATAGCAGGTGTGCAGCTTAGCTGGACAGCAGGTGCATCTCAGTAAGGCTCAGAAAGGGCTTGGAGGGAGATGGCATTGCCTCCTCCTGGGTCCTCAAAGCCTACGCTGCTCAGGGCTGTGGGACCAACCTGACTGCCAGCAGCCCCAAGACAGGCAGGGCAGGAACCATCTCTCCTGGTTCCCAGGACAGGCACCATGGCAGCGAGGAGTCTGGCCAAGTGGCTCTTCATGTGCAGGGCTGCTCCCTTCAGAGCAACTTTTCCTGGCCCTGGTTTTCAGCCCAACTAGGAACAACACTGCTGTTCTCAACCCTTGGCCAGACTCCATCCTCCCGGGAGCCCAGCAACCCCACCTCCCTCTGCTGCTCTGAAACCACAACCAGGAGACAGGGTCATAGGCCAGTGGTTCCCAGTGGCAACTGGAAGTGGAGGAGGAAGGAGAAAGCCCCTCAGGTGAAAGGGATGCTAGACAGCTACACCTGGAATCAAGGTCTTACTCAGACAGGAGACAGGGGACAACCGGCCCTCTGGCCCCAGAGCCCAGGGTTCCTGACTCTGCTGGAGCCCTTTGGAGGATGTCACACAGCCCTGGTGTCTATGCGGGCAGGGAAGCCTGCGATGCTTCCTCTCATCCACTGGGTAAGTCTGGACCTGCCGCGTGCCCCCACAGAAGTGGCTGCATGTGTGTGATGGGAGCTGAAAACCCCAGTGCCTGTGTCTTGTGCAGCCCCGAGGGATCCTCCCGACAAGGAGGTGCTATCTAAGAGGGAAAGGTGCCTGGGTAGGTCAAGATGCACCCTGTGAATACAAAGAGAAGGGGCAGAGAGGTCAGCTCCAGCTAGGTAACAGGGCAGATCACAACCCCACATCTGAACACCCCTCGTAGGAAGGAGGAGAAGTTCAGATCTGGGTTTGGATCGGGAAGTCAGAGCAGGGAGCCTTGTCGGTGCTCTGGGCTGGCTTTGTGTGGATAGACATCCAGAGCCCCAGGGACACATGATTCCCAGGGTAGTTCTACCCCACCGGTGGGAAGCGACTGACAAATGTGGGTGTCACTCATCCCAGACAAGCCCCACAGCACGCCTTACATCAACATCTTCAATGGGGAAGCCACACAGACGCCTGGCATTTCTCTAACCTTGAAAAACTCCGAGTCTCACATGTCACCCAGCGACAACAAGCTGTTATTCAAGATGAGAGAGAGAGCGAGACAACGGAGCTGGGGGTGGCTGAGGTGCTGCTGAACTGACCCCTAGCAGCCAAAAGTGGGCATGGATTTATTTTTAACCCAGCCGGGGATGTATTTATTGTTTCAGCACACAGCGGCATCAGGGATTGTCTTTGGAATCCCTCTTGCAGTAACACCAAGGGCCGTGCAGAGTCACTGCAGCAATGGTAAGTAAGAGCGAGCGCGTGGGGGAACCGTGGCTTGGCCGCAAGGGAGGGGATGGGCAGCATTAAGGTCCTCTATCAGCAGCATCTCTAGGGTTGTCTGGTTGCACACACATGCGATTTGCCCCTGGAACCAGGTAAGGCCCGTCGGGGTACCGGCCGCACGGATGGGATATGAACAGCAGCAGCTGGGGGCTGTTTCTTTCATGGTCTCAAGAATCAGCAGAGCTTGCAAAACGGGCCCAAGCGCTTCTCAAGGTTTACATTTCAATTCTTCCCCAGCCCCTGTGCAGCTGGCAGGAGAGGCTCTTCTGTCTTGCTAACTCGCCTGCTCAGAGCTTCTCCTTGCGTGAGCGGCCAGCTAAAAATCTTTGCTTCAGAGGGAATAATTCTCAAGGAGGGAGAGGCTTTGACAAGTGGGTCTAAAGATTTCCTTCCTCATTGGGGCAGTCAGGAACACCTCCCTCTTGGGCTTCACCTCCTTTGAGGAGTTTTTAGTGAGGAGTTTTACAATGTCAGGGCTGCAGCTGTCTCATTTGAACAAAGATGGGAAAAATGAAGCACAAAACTATAATAAAGCTTCCAAGAGCCGCAGCCATTGTGTGAAATCTCAGTGATGTGCTTAACTTCCTCCCCTGCTCCCAGGGGTCCTGAACATACAGTTGTACAAGAGGAGGCTTCTTTGCTTTTAACTCTCAGCCAAACACCAGTCATTTTATCCCCGCAGACTTCCCACCACGCTGTCTAGTTATCTCTCCAACTCTTTTTTCCCCCTAACCAACTGATTTGGCAGAATGTATCAGGAGACCAAGCAAGCTTGTACGAAGAACTCCTAACTCCCATCAGTACCTACAGCGTATCTTTTATCCCACGCTCTGAATTGAGCATGAGAAACCACTGAATGCTTCGGAGACTGAAGAGCACCAGCTGCCCCGAGCTATGGATAAGTGGAGGGTAGCTTAATGCATTTAGTGCATAGAGAAGGACTGTGAGCTAATGACACTGTGCTTGAATTCCCCAAGGCACCCAAGAAAGCTAAGAAGAGAGCAGGTGGAGCTAATTCCAACGTCTTTTCCATGTTTGAACAAGCCCAGATTCAAGAATTCAAAGAGGTAAGTTGACTTGGTTGAAATAGCCATGAAGGGGAGGACCAAGAGCCACTGATGCACTGGTATCTTCCAAGTCTACCCGACAGGCTTTGATCTTCGGTGTTTTAGGTTTGGAATAAATCCCTAAAAGCCCATTGAAAACTGCTTTGAATAAAAGTAGAAAGTGTTATACATATGAGTGTAGAGTCCTCTCTAGACTTTGCAGAGACTCCCATCAGGAAGCATGAGTGACAGCTCATGCTGGCAGCAACACACAAGAAAGCAGGCGTGCAGAATCGAAACTCTAACCGGCTGGCGGTGACTGTGCGCGTGGGACACTGTTACACAGCACTGGTTGGCCTTTTCATGGGTGCTGCACAGTTGCATGGTTTTAGGTCCTGAAACTCATCTGGGTACATAGAGATCATCTGGGGCCTTCTCCAGCAGAATGCATCCGTGTGCTTTTTGGAGCATGCTAACCGGGGCCAGGGATAGCAGCTCTGCAGCAGACAGGAGTGACCAAAACACAGCTGCTCTGTGCTAGAGGCTGCTGAAACATCTTGAGGCAGGGATTTCCCTTCCTCCTGGGCTTTCCAGCTCCATCAGCACATCTCCTCCTCCTCCTCCTTCCACCATCCTGTCCCCGCTCCCGGGGACTGCTAAGCTCTGGCAGTCATTGTAAGGCAGGCTGCAACATGAGTAAAGCCTGGGCTAAACCCAGCAGATGCGGAGGAAGGGGGGAACAGCTCCTGGCCTCAGCATGAGGTTTACATTGAGCTAAAGAATAACAGCCCTGTGAAAGCAGCCGTCTCTCACCCCATCACTGGAGAAGGGAGAGGGGCTTCCCCTTTCACAATTGCTACTCCCAGGGATGGGTCCACTCTCCTGCACTGCAGAGGAGAGCTATTGTCCATGGAGATCTGCAATGTTGGAGCTGATAGGTGGCAGTAGTGAACAGTGAAAGCCACGGGCAAAGTCCCTGGCTGTGGTGAAGCACACGTGGCTACACTCAGATAACTTTAGTCTGGAGAGCTTGTGAAGCTATTTTCGGTGTTGCCTTTCATTCATCTGCCCTTTGCAGGCATTCACCATCATGGATCAGAACCGGGACGGCTTTATTGATAAGTCAGATCTAAGAGACACTTTTGCTGCACTCGGTAAGCCTCCAATTTAGAAACACCGTCCTCCCACATCCAAAAATAAGCTTTGATAATGTTGGAAGAACTGATAGCAGAGAGCTCAACATCTACACTGTCCATTTAATCCTCTTACTGGGAACTTGGAGCTGAGTGAAAACCTCTAGATCCAAAGCCAACTGTAAGACGATCATTTTGTTCACTGCAAGCTTTGTCAACCAGTGTTAATCACTTTTTGGGCAAGCTCTAATTAACAACGGAGGCCCCCATTAGAGACACCGGTTATTGAATGAATGAAAGTCTAAAATCTGCCCCGGATCCTAAAGCTCAGACATACCTCACTCTGTCAATGGTCCCCTTGAAACTAAACCCATTCTTTGAGAAACAGAGGCCTGAAATAGCTCCTCCCTCACATCAGTGAAAAATTAGGCATGGCTCCACTGAAGTCCAAAGAGGCCTGGGCTGCAGATTTTACCTCAGTAGATAAAGGCAAGAAAGAATTGGGTTCATTCAGCTGGGAACTACTTCAGCAG